GAGTTCGAGGCCAGCCTGGACTACCAAGTGAGTTCCAGGAAAGGCGCAAAGCTACACAGAGAAACCCTGTCTCGAAAAACCAAAAAAAAAAAAAAGAACCTCTTCTCATTGGGAAGCTCTGTTAGGGATCACAGCCATTGTTGGCCATCTTCTAAAACCCTTCCCAGGCCACATATGTGAGACAGATCCCCAAATAAGTCACCTACGAGTACATGAGTGAGCTGAGAAACAAATAGAATGTGCTGTATAGTTCATTCAACTATCCAATCAATATGTTCTAGGCTACTCCACATTAGGAATACAGACCTGGTCCCACGGAGCCCCCAGATTATGAGGGGACAGATGGGAAAACAAATAAGGGGTCACTCTTCAGTGTGAACAGCGTTTCTCAAGGAAAAGTCTAGGATGGCACTGTAGGCACACAAATAAGGGGGAGCTAACCTAGATTAGGAGGTCAGGGTGAGCTCTCAGAGGCAGTAACATTGAACAGGAGACCTCAAAGGGTACCAGAAAGTAGTCAGAGAAAGGAGGAAAGAGGAAGGATATTCCTCAGGCAGGGGGAATGGCATGTTCTGAGACCCCAGAGCTCAGCAGGACATGGTACAATTTGGAATCTTATTCGGGAATTGGTCCATGTGCCAAGGGACGCATGCTACACATGGTCCTGCACATCCCACCAGAATTCACAGGTGGCTGCTCAGTAACGCTTCTGCTAGGCTTCGTGGCATCTGCTTGGGTGTTAACATTTTCTTCCTCCTTTTTCTGTACAGACTTTGCAGGTGTCACATCACTGACAAATTCTATACATGAAGCATCTCACCTGTTCACCTGTTCATGTTCAGGGTAGTTCAGGGGCAGGACAAGAAATTTGGCTGAAAAGAGAGCTGCCTAACTCCTATTACTTCAGGAGTTTTGTGTTACACAGATTTTTCTTGACAACGGATGGTTTTCAAGGGCTATGCATTCTGAGCACACGCTTGAATAATCCTTGCAGATAAGCAGGACCAGATCTTTCTTTCAGTGCCTTCTTGCTACATATTCAGGAAAGGAGTAAACGTAGTAAGTCTTGCAAAGCAGTTGGGCCTTTGTCATTTATAAATATTTTATTTACCGACTGATCTGTGTTCTGCAATCTCGTGTCTAATCAAAATGAGTTGCTTTTCTTCAGGGCTATCACAGATCTTCTAGATTAAAGAAATGATTTATGTGTGTGTGTATATGTGTGTGTATATGTGCAGATATATGGGTGCCTGCAGAGGCCAGAAGTGGGCACTGGATCCCTTGGAGCAGGAGTTATAGGTATTTGTGAGCTCCCAGGATGGGTGCTAGACCTGCCTTCTGGGCCTCTGATAAAGCTGTAAGCCCTAGTAATGGCTGAGCCATCTTTTCAGTCCCCACACACCTCTTGTAGGGTTTGATTGCTGAATTTTAATGCTGTCTAAAATATGAGAAGCTCGATTTTGTTGTTGATTTTGTTCGCTTGTTTTTTGTTTTGTTTGGTTTTGGTTTTTTGAAACAGGATTTCTCTGTGTAGCTTTGGAGCCTGGAGCCTGTTCTGGAACTCGCTCTGTAGACCAGGCTGGCCTCGAATTCACAAAGATCACCTGCCTCTGCCTCCCAAGTGCTGGGATTAAAGGCCTTGTTTACTTGTTTTTGAGACAAGGTCCACTATGTAGCTTTGGCTGTCTTTGAACTCAACGATCCACTTCTTCTGCCTTCCAAGTGCTGGTATTAAAGGTGTGCAGCAGTGTACCTGGCTGAGAGCTCAATTTTTTAAAGATGATTTTTAATGTCTTGCCTCTGAAATGTAATAAACACCACCAACATGGAACAATTTTTCCCATTAAAGTCTTTTTTTTTTTCAGTGACCTCAAGCATTCTATAACCCTGATTACAAATGTTCTTGTATTCCAAGCTGGTGAGCCTGTATATTTTTATTATTGCTTGAGTTGAAGCCTTTAGTTTACAGCTGATTTCTAATAGTTTCTGTGTCTGAAAAGACACTTGTATCAATGAAATCTTAATTTAAAGGATATCAATGTCTGCAATCCCAGAATTTGGGAGGCTAAGGCAGGAGAATCGCCGTGGGTTTGAGGCCACCATGGGCTATACAGTAAGATTCAGGCCAGCTTGGCCTATATAGCGTGAGGTCCTGTTTCAAAAACAAAACCAAACTTTTTTTTAAAAGACGTTATCTTAGGTGAGATAATTCAACAAATAAAGATGCTTGTTGTTAAGCTTGATGTCCTGAGATCAATCCCTAGGACCTATATGGTGGAAAAGACGAACGTCTCTCACAAATTGTCCTCTTACCTCACATCTATGCCATGGCATGTGATATCTCTCTCTCTCTCTCTCTCTCTCTCTCTCTCTCTCTCTCTCTCTCTCTCTCTCTCTCACACACACACACACACACACACACACACAAAAGAAATCAAGGCAAATGTAATCTAAAGGTCTCCCATTTATCTTCTGGAAGGAATCATTATGTGACTTTTTTTTTTCTCATAAAACGGGTGTCAGAAACTAACTTCAGGAACCCAGGAAACTTAATATAAAATTTACGTCTTAATTATTAAAACAGAAGTTGCTTCAGCTTTTTGTTAAGTGCACTGTGAGAACACAGATAAACCCATCGGGTTGACTTCCTTGGCACCTGAACTGCAGTTCTCCCATCATCCATGCGGAAATATAAGATGAGCCTTTTGACAAAAATAGTTAGTGTTCTCGTTTTGAAGTTTGATGACAATGCAATGTGTTCTTTTAATCACTAAACATGAAGTTTCTGGTAGTAATAATTAATGTACATACTAATGTCCTTTTAGATGTTAGTGGTAACACTGGATGGAGATTTTATGCTTCTGTGGTGTGTGTGTGTGTGTGTGTGTGTGTGTGTGTGTGTGTGCTCCAATGCATATATGTGGAAAGGCATGTGGAATCCAGAGGTCCATCTTAAGTGTCATTTTCAGGAGCTGTCCACCTTCTTTCTTTGAGACAGTTCTCTCACTGGAACCTGGGGTTCACCCCATTTGGCTAGGCTAACTGGCCAGTGAGCCCCAGGGATTTTTCCATCTCTGCCTCCCCAGTACAGGGATTACAAGTACACATCACCATGTGCCCGGCTTCTTACTCGGGTTCTGAGGATTGAACTCAGGTTCTAGTGCTTGCAGAGCAAGCACTATCCTGACTGAGCCATTACCCCAGCCCCAGAACTTGGCATTTCATTCCCTACAACACAATAACGATAGCAGTACAGCAGGATCTATCTGCTAGGATCCTCTTCTTCCATGGCTGCCCCTATAAGTTTGGGGACACTTTTCTCAAAGATACGCATCCACACCTGCATAGACTATATTATTTTAATGTATCCTGGCTAGATCTTATGAATTCTGAAGCTAAGTTCCATGGTGTTCATAGAGTCCATACCCTGGGTCTCTGCTTTTCATCCACTGGCAATTATACATCAAACAGTAAACTATTAAAGAAAAATGAACTGAATTTCCTAGAGGGAAGCCACCTCCCATCAAATAAACAATATTTATTTCTGCGTTGGCCAAACATGTCATCAAAAACTTTTCCTCCAGCATTTGGATTTATTTTTTTAACTTATTTATTTTTATTTTATGTGCATTGGTGTTTTGCCTGCACGT